GGGGGGGGGGGGGGGGGGGGGAAATTTGCAGTGCACACACATACTGAGCAGTGTTGAGCTATGGAGTCATTATGGCTTGAAATGTTAATTGGGCCTGGCGCCAGCAGAGTCAACAGCTATTTGGTAAAACATGAGCCTTTTGGCTTTGGACTAATATCATACATCATTTGTACTACATATAAGACGACGATAGAAAAGAAATGGCAGACCTCATATGAAAAGGGAAGGGACTGGCATAGATTTTTGTGAGGCAAGTACTTCCAAGAGAACAATGAGGACGACAACAGTGAAGAGAGCAACAATGATGACAATGAGAGAGGACTGGACAAAACAGGAGGATGATCTGGGATTGGGGAGGAGGGAGGAAGCTGAGGGAGTCATTTACATAACTGTGATGTTTTCAAGAGAATGGTGATGGGTATGCAGGAGTGCACACCCATCACCATATATATAATTGTTTATATATACACAGAAATAAATATTTTTTGGAAAAAAAATTGTATTATATACAATACAATACAATACAATACAGCCCAGGGACCACTCTGCCCACCAGCAGCTTGCTCTCCCCTCCCTGCCTGAGGCAGGTAAGCCGTGTGCATGACATGAGGATTTAATCAGCCCTAAATTGAAACAGTGTTTTTTTTAAACACACACCGCTTCAATTTAGTGCCCCTGTTTAATCTTACCATGCCCACGGTTACAGAATGACTTGTTTTGAACCCTGTTCAAACTTCTTGAACCCTGCCTTCTGGCACCTCGCTCTGGTTGAAGCCACTTATAAGCCTGGGCTCTGAATTTCAGCCCCATTTCTTAGCTGTATAAGTGGGATAGACCCAGCTCCATTTAGCACCTGTAAACCCCTTTCCCTTCAGAAACTTGTGACCAGCAATGTGGTTGGTTAAGGGCAACTCAAATACAGTTCTTCATAGTAAAGGATAAAAGGATAAAAAGCATATTAACATTCCCTTTCATCTCGCCCTTAATTTTCTACTGCAGGCTTTGTACATTTCAGCCACCCCAATCACCAGCACCTCTGGAGTGTGAGAAGCCAAGTGTTGCTTCTGCAGATCCTGCCTTTCTCCCCTCCCCTCCCTCTGTTGGCATGCCTGTCAGCTCTCACTGACACTCCCAGAGCAGACTTCATTTCCTTCCTGATGCCAGCATCTATGGCTGGCTATACATGTGCTCACTGCCAGAGCACACTCAATTAATTGACTCTGCCTTGCGTTCTGATTAGAACACTGCAGTGCTGCTGCAGCATCACATGTATTAAGCCTCCACGTTTTAAAATAACCACGGGGTGCTTTAACCAAACCTTGATGAATGCGGTTTAGATAAAGTATCCCGTGGCCATTTTTAAACATGTGGGGCTTAATACACAATTGTAAATTAAAGCGGCTGCCCAGGAACCACTCTGATCAAAATGCCACCCCCCCACCTCCAAGCACACACATAGGCAGCCTTTAAGCTCAGATTCCCCTTGTAAAGAGAAAATCATGCCAAAATGCTGGGAGTCATACACAGCCATCCCCCAAATTAAGAACTTCCCCTCATTGTTCTCTGAAGAAGCCTCATCTTTGCCATTGTTTTAAGTCTTGCACATCTCCTTCTAACAGCCCCTTTTTAATTTAATGCTATGTATTCAGGCATGATAATGCTGCAGAAAACCCAAAGAGCAAATGATATTTTTGAAAATTACTATCCATAGCTCCCTTGTTCTCCACTCAGTCTGATTAGGGCATTATTAATAAACTAAAGCCCTTAGGGTTTTTAAAGTGCTCCTGCTACGCCTTCTGCCCTCAAGATACCTGAACTCTCATAGTCTAGGCCTAATAATTTTGTTCATCTCTCAGATCTGCTATTGAGAATACCTATGTTTCTTCCAAGTTCATTATATGAAACATTCCTGAACATTAAACTGCTGGAATCAAAATAAAAGCTAAAACATAAAAGTGACAGATTTAATCTGTATAGTCACAGGGTGACTCCTTTTCAGTAACAGCTGTATTGTAAGTCTTTAACGTAAAAGCAAAGGGAATGCACTTACATATTTTCATGAGCTTTTTTCATTGCTTGGGCAGCATAGCCCATATTCTTTAATACTTCCGTATTGGTATAGGAATTTTCCAATGCTTCTCGCTGGAACTCAATGGTTGAAAGTGTCCCGTCAATTTGGGTCAACTGCTTTTCATACCTCTTTTTTCTCTTCAGTGCTTGTAAAGCAGCTGTTGTGTAAATCAGAAGCACAAAGTTATCTATATGTTTTCAAAGTAAAACGCGCACACAAATGTTTCAGTAATGTCACCTGAACAAGGTATGATGTAGAAATAAGGTAAGATTTGAGAATTCCTATTCAGGTTAGCATCAGTAAGCACTGGCACAAACACATTGGGAGTAAAACCCAACTGCCCCTCAAAACCCCTGATCTACTTGTTTGCTTTGCTGATCCAAACACACCAGTTGTGGTCAATATCTTTGGTAAATCAAAGACAAACAGCTGTCCAGAGACCAGAATCGGTTTCCCCTTCCATTGCAGGAAGCTTCTGCTTTACACTTGTGCATGGCAAAACCCAAACAACGCAGGAGCACAAGAGCAGGAATGCCAAGAAAAAAAAAAAAAGAAAGAAAGAAAAAAGGAACTGAAGAACAAAAAAGGAAACAGAGAAAGACAGACTGGGGACACCGGTAAAACAATGCACTCAGCCATTCACAGCAACTCCACCAGTGTAGCTTCCTGAAATTCATATTTCAATACTGGGAAGTAGCAAGAGCAATGGTCACATGATGAAACTGCAACGTTAACAGGAGGGAGGTTCCACCTCTCATCAAGCTCATTTTTTTTCCTGTGCTGTTGTAGAGACCTACCTCTCTCAGCCCCTCCCTCCACTCTGCATTTTATAATTGAAACCTTTTGAAAAATTCAGCCCACTCTTTGTAAGGTGCTGAGATAACTCAGCAGAAGTTGTTCGACAAACAGAGTTTCTGGCAGGGGCAAATCTTTATCAGCATAAAGCTACCATGAGTGAAAACATATACAACAAAAGATTTCCCTGGAAAAAAGCGGGGGGGAAGAGGGGAGGAGCAGCTGGGCGTGGAATGCAGACTTCCTACAGGGGGGTAGGTTGTGGCCATGTTGGTCTGAGGACATGGTTTAAACACAGTTTTAAATTCCTGATGAAGGGTTTTTAAACCCGAAAGCTTGCTAAGAAACATTTTTCCAACGGTTTAGTTGGTCTAGTAAAAGATACCACATTTACCCAAAGAACCTTGTCTGCCGACTTCCTACAGGCACTCTCTCACTTCTCTCTCCACCAACCTCTCTCATAAGGATTTGGGCAAGGAATAGGAAAGTGGTGGTATTAACCCCGCTTATGCTGAGAACTAAGTGGTCCCCTGAATGCTGCCGCACTTCTCTATCTCATTTAATTTTTGAAGCATATGCAGTGCCAGTAGATGTCTGCGCACACCACTGGAATTCTAGGCACTCATCAAATCCCTAAGGTTACTAATAGATCCTCATTCAAACTGTCTCCAATAATATTGAACCCAGGCAATGGCAGGCTGCTTACACTGCAAAACAGCCTCTCAGTGCTTTAGTGCATGGGAATGCATTCCATTTTATTGATAAATGCCTTATGTAATGCATGGTCTAAGCTGTGTTTTCTTGGCTACACAAAGACAAGCATTTTGGTAGACTTTGACATATATTGCAACTTCCTAGAGTAAATGTTTGGAAAATTCTGGTTCTTATGGCCAATTTGGAGTTTCAACATTTTTTAAAACCAGAAGGACTGTAGTCTGACATCTGTATAATACAAGTTTATCAGGGGGAGCTCTCAGCCCCTATAAAATTCAAGGCTGATAACTGCATAAATATTATGTATTATGGTGCCGCATGGCAAACGTGAATTTGGGAAAATATCAACTGTGAGTGGTTTTAGAAGTGAATCACACAAGATGACTTTAGAATGTAAGACTTGGAAAAAAATGATACCATAATTACCAATCAACTCTATTTACAGAGCAGTTATTTCTGAAATCCAAAAGACTTTTAGCTCAAACTTTGGATGAATCCCCTCTAAGTTAAACTAAAAAACTCAGAAGAGTGATTCTTCATTGTGATTCACAACATACTTAGTGTTTTGAGAGGAAAAAAAAAAAAAAAATCAGCTAAATTGCAATATGCCACCTCTATTTATTCTGCTTAGTCTAACCAGGCATTCCATAACTCATTTTTTACTTCACAACAAATCAATGTATACACCTTTTCCACACCAGTCAAGATATACCACACTCCCCTGCCTCACATGACATTCATGTCACAATTATGGGTATGGATGAGTTCCTATGCTGCCTACTAGGCATGTAAATAAGCTTAGCCACCAAAGTACTATATTCTATTCCACCTACTTAACTCCCTGAAAAACTGCTACTACAAAAAGGTGGGTGGGTCCTCCCCCTTCTGCTACTTTTATGATTCAGTCTGAAGGGAGATGTGCAAGCTCACAAAAGCTTGAGCTATACATTGCACACATACTTTGGTTAGTCTATAAAGTGCAACTCTGCTCTACCTTCTATTCAATCTGAAGAGCCTGATGACAGCAAGTAACCAAAGTAGATCAATTAATGGATTTCAGGGACTTGAATGAGGTGTACAGAATTGCACTTAGGTGCCTAAGTCCACTTAGGCAGACAAGGTTCTTTGGGTAAATCTGGTATCTTTTATTAGACCAACTAAATAGTTGGGAAAATGTGCTTAGCAAGCTTGATTAGACCAACACAACTACAACTTACACCCCTAAGTCCACTTAGGCACCCAAATGGTAGAACAGAATTTGGCTCACAATGTCACATTGCTCAGTAATACATGACCATGTAAGCAGGAGGCACAGTCATTACAGAAACAGGCAAGGAAGTTTCCATGTAAACCTAAGTTTGAGATCCTTGGCTCTGTCGATTTTAAATCTTAAATACTCATATATTGCTAAATGGATCTAGACTGTATTTCTATTGCATATATATCTTGTTGAAGAGTAGTATGCAGCTCTTCTACAAGAAGATGGTACAACAGTATTGAAGTTCACAGAAATACAGCTATAGGACCTAGCTGTAAAGGAATAAATGATTAAATTACATAAGTAGTACAGATATTGAAAAGGGGAGATAAACTTACTTCACAGAAGTTCAAAGAATGAGTTTGAGAAAGATGTTCCCCATTCCAAAGATTTCAGAAAAAGAATAGAGCCAGGTAAGAAGAGTCAGATTATAATCTGAGGAAATAAATGTAACGGCAATTTAACCATTAAAAGAACTATGTTTTCTTCAGGAAAAAAGCACTCTTATACTAATACTAGTTTGTTCCAAAGAAGTGCTGAACCCCTGCAGCTTCCAGTGAAATGTGTGGTGGCAGTTGCCAGAATTTAGTACCTCTCAAAAAGTCAGGTGTACTATATTTCAATTTGAGTCTAATAATAAAAGTACTCTGAGGTATTAGGAACAACTTGGCCTGTTCCATCTACCAGCCCCAAATCTTGGGGTTTTTGCTGCATTTGAAAAACAGGAGTAACATAAAAATAGATTTCTGTTAGATGCATACACAATACAGCCTACTTCAACTAACATACAAAAGGACACTTTCACACCTTAGATTTCATAGGCATTTGGGCTGGAAGGGACCCCGGAGGATCGAGTCCAGC